AAGGCATGCAAAACATGAGAGCCCCTTCCCCGCCTCTCTCAAGGCTGAGCTGCTGCCGCAATTTTTTCATTTTGCTGTTGTCCGCTCACCTTCCAGGGCAACGAGGACTGGCACTGTCGTAACTTCGCCTGTGTCGACCCGAACGCTCCCTGTGTAGACGATGACAGCGTAACCGTAGACATGATCGAAAACTGCAGGTGGTCGACAGACATCGGCGACGGATACTGCAGTGAAGATCTCAACACGCCCGAATGCGGTAGGTCTTTGCCCGAGAATCTCGCATTCCCGTACCGGTGAACAATATGACTTTCTTGGAAGCAAGCTGAAATAGGGATTGGTTGCGATGAAGATGGTGTGTCGACTTAGACATCCGATGACCTCTGGACCAGCTGTTGCCAACAGATGCCAGCGCTCAAATAAGCTCCAAGGTCCATGAAGGTCGCAAGCTCGGTTGATTGGTTATCTTGGTAGCTGTTGCGGCGAGATCATGGTGCGCGTGTTTGTGTTCGTCCCATTTCCTCTGGCGCGGCCACAGTACGAACGTCTTGGTTCATTTTTGTTTGACTTACTAGCAAGGGGTCACATAGGAAGAAGGTCGTTCAGGAGGTTCTTTGATTGTCCTGGGGTACGAGTTGCAGCGGTCGTGAGTTCGAATTCCCACGGGGTGAAAAATTTACGAAATGTGCGGGTGAAAGCGAAATATTGCTGACAAGCTCTCGTGAGAACCGAACTTCGACGTTAGCACCGTTGACGAGGGAAAGGTACGGCTGGACCCTTCTCGCGATAAAAATAAAATTCAGCACGCACCGCAGGAGGAAGGTGGGGCATGAAAAGACATGAAAAGAAGAAAAAAGCCCTGGTGTTGACCCCCTCCTGTGTGAGCCTGGATGGTTGTAGTTGTACGAAAAAAGACACCGAAGAGTGTAGTACTCTACATTCGCTGAAACGTGTAGACTACTAGTACACGTCTCACCACGAAAAATGGGGGGACTGGCGCCATAATAAATAGGACGAAAACACACACACACACGCGTACTTTCCGCGAATGTCGCCTGAGCAAGTATCTTCGTCGTTGCCGCCCTAAGACGCACTCGTCGCCGTCAGTAGTGGGGAATGAAGTCTAATGCGTCAGAACCGCTGTCTAGTATGTCGTGCCTCTTCACCACATGATCCTTCTCCTGCGTGTCTCCCTTCGCGACTATGAGCTCGCTCCCTCATTTTCTCACGAATACACACGTGGTTTAGGCTACAACCAACACAAGTGGACCGCCATGTCTCTCTCTTCCCTGTCCTGCCACTCTCGTGTTTCCCAATTTCCGCAGCCTACGACGGGGGCGACTGCTGTTCTTGCACTTGTGAGGTAGGGACCACTCATACGAGGGCTAACTAAGTCCTTCCCCCTTTGTGACCGTTGTCCTCGGGCGCCAAGATCATTTGTTGTATCTCTTCGGTAGGTGGATTTCTTTTCCCTGTGCCCGTGCTTTCCCTTCGAAGACGCCGACGTCAATTTGGTAGAATGTTATTTCATCGGAAGCTTTGGTTTACGAAAGGCAGCCCACCGCGGGCTCGGTATTGTTTTTGCAAGGTTTTACGTCAAATTTTTTGACGAAAGTCTGACGACACCAAGCATATCACACAAGTTCGCTACTGCTTGGGCCATATCCTCGCAGCACACGACTGTAGTGCAAACTGCATGTTTTTGCGCTGTATTTGCTGACATGTGGGGGGCGCGGCCGTAATAGAAGGTAGCGGCCTAAAGCGAAACACGTTGGGCAAGCGCTCTTTTTCATCTGCAACCGTTGGACGTTCCCGACTAGCCGAGAAGTGTTTTCGCCCATTGCACCACCACAACGGTCTCGACGAAACTGCTACGTGCCTCTGCCTTTTTCCCTGCCGTCGGGAGTTGGCCGCGATATCACACCTTCGCGTGGAGCCTGGTTAAATACTGAGCCTGATTCTGTTGGACTTGTGTTTGGCACTTTCACAGCTTGCTGGGCAAAAATGCCATTTCTGGGTTGGGGCGTCTCCCCAGCCGCTGCCCCTTTCGTTTCTCTTGAAACCGTCGAAACAAGGATATCCCTCCATTTGCCGCTCGCCCTCCGCCAGAATATCTACGACGACGACTGGAGTTGCACGCGGTTCGCCTGTATTGATCCAGAGGCAGCCTGCGTTGACGACGATGACATCACCGTCGACATGATCGAGAACTGCGACTACCCGTTGTCCGTAGGAGACGGCTGGTGTGACAAAGGAAACAACAACGAGGCTTGCGGTAGGTTGCTGTCCCACCATGCGCAGCCCGATGCCTTGTTGTTCGTCGTA